ACACATAACCACAATTTATATCATTATAAAGATAAGTGTGTTCATGTAAACACTATAAATGAGGACTTCTCCCTCGATCCCCGGGTCTAAATTATAGGTCTGAATGCAGACTCAGTGCAGCAGGTCTCCTGACCTGCCTATTTTAACCATTAGCCCTGCTGGTAATATAGAGGAGTTAGGCAAACACAGCAGCACGGTGATGTGTCTGAATGTGAACGAACTCCTGATAAAAGACAACATCTGTCATTCTCTAATTCTCGTGCTGCTCTCCCGAAAAAAAATGCTTGCAGCACACACATACCTTTGCTGTATGATCGGCCCTGACAAGATCGCGGGAAAAAAACATGCAACAAACCCCGTGGATCATGGAAACAAACACATACGAGCCTTCATGAACGGTTACTGCGTGCCGTGGGTCTGTGTCTCTCAGCCTGCTTGAAACTGGCATGCCTTGTCTTCGGAAAGCACGTGCTCTCATGAATAATTAAGCAGCCGGCTCTTCTCATAGGATAAAAAAAAATTTAGCTATGAATAATAATGAGAAACCGACGCGTCATCATTGCACTTGCAGTTCTGCGCTACGTCGCCGATTTTGATCCTGCCCCAAAAATCGTTTTAAACCCGGAAGTTGAAATTAGCTGACAAAAGCTCAAAATTGTCCAGTTTTCCCCACAATTAAAGCTGACAGGTGCTAACATTGTCTTAACTGATGCTCAACACACACACACATCTGTTAATATAAAAAAAAGTTCTCCAGGGTGTCCTAAACCTTTAATTTTCAATGAACACAAACTGTCATAGTTTATTAAAGACGCAAATCATTCGCTGCACCTTCAGCAAACCTCCTAATTCGTGCAGCACGAGGACTTTCCTGATCATTTATGAGCATCAAAAGTGGTGTATCTGTTCGGCAGCATATTTGACTGCGTGTCACTGCATCCCAAATGAAAAATAAAAATAATACAAAACGATGCAACTAAAGTAATCTCCACTGTGCTGAGCGAGAGTGCTTCTCTTCCTGTTAAACTGATCATTCAGTCACATCACAAGCGTGCTCAGGTTCGGTAGGTAAAAATGCAATGCGAGTGCAGGCCAAGAAGGAGAGGAGAGCTTAGGCACAGGTCAAGGCAACTGTATTTAATGTGAGTAATCCCTTAGTTTTATTTGAAGTTCTCCTAAATTACCCTAAAGAGACATTTTTAGGCATATTTCATGAGTTACATACACTGAAAAAAAATGTCTGCAAAATAGGCATGGGACAATAATCGTTTTCAAGGTATACCATGGTTTGTAAAATTATCTGCTACACTGTTCCTACGGTGTGTATAAGATATTTACTTTTTAGTTTTTTAAGACAAGAGTATCTCCAGCAGAAAAGATGTTCAATCATGTGTTTTAAATTGTAAAGAAATGTCTGTTTTTAAAACAAACGAAGACAGAAGTCAATGATTCATTGTCATTATTCAGCCTGACATGTTTACTGTCATAAAATATTTTAAATGTCTCTCAAAATAAACAATATTGTGTTTAAAAATGTTCAGACATTTAAAAAGAACATATTTTAGAGCAGTACCATGACAAACCGTGACATTTTTATCCGAGGTTTTCATACCGTCAGAATCTTATACCGGCCCATGCCTAGCTGCAAAATTGTTGCATTTTAACAATTTATGTGTTAAATTTAAACTAATTAAATTTAGCAATGTTCAACTTAATTGTTTGTTTAAATTTAGCACAAATGAATTGTTTCCAACCACTTAAAAAAAATGTGTAAATCCAAGGAATCATCTTTGACTATTTTTTTTACAGTTGATTGAGACTGATCTCAGGACTGGTTTTAGGACAGTTATTGCTCACTGAGCAAAGCAACAAACTGCATTTGGTGCTTTAGCAAAATGGTAATCTCAAAGTATCATGCGTGAAAATGATCGAAATCTTTAAACTAAAATATTAAATTTTAACAAGTCGATTAACTTTAAACACCTAAGATTGCTTTCATTCTTAATATTTCCCCCTCCTAATTCAATCCTACGCAAAGCATGCTGGAAACTACAAATCCCCTAACCAGGTAGTCGGACCAACACAATTCCTTCATGCTGTCCCAACACAAAATGCTTAAGTTTACTTAATGGTTTACAATTTTAAGGGGACCATATGCAGAGGGTAAACAAACTCCAGGGTAGGGCTAATATTTGCCGTTGCCTTTAATGCATTTAAAAAGATTTGTGACCCACCAAGAAGAGGTTTGAACAAAAGCACCACCCATCAACAAACGTTTATTATATTCAACACGCACATTAAATTATTTTATTCAACTCACCCACTGATCTACACTACCGGTCAAAAGTTTGGGGTCAGTTGATTTTTTTTTTTTATGATTAATTTTGTTTAATGGTTTAATTCAAATTATTCTGTGCATCAAGGTGGGATTTATTAAATATTAAAAAAGTTTTTAAATACTTATTTATTAAATATCTATTTATTACTTACTGTATGCAGTTTCAAATGAAATTATTACTCCTTGTTGCTTTTATTACATTATTAATAATAATAAAAATAATAATAATAATTAATATTAGAGTGATTTCTGAAGGATCGTGTGACTCTGAAGACCGAATAAAGTTGAAAATTATCATTAAATCACTGGAATAAATGATTAAATTAAATGATGAACTACTTTTGAACAGTTATTTTATAGTGCAATAACATTTTACAATTTTGCAATTTGTACTGTACAATAAACTTATTTTAAAACTTTAAAAAATCCTAATGACCCCAAACTTTTGCCCGGTACTGTATATATGTATTTTATATATTATATTATGTATTAATGGTAGCCTTTTGTCTAACAAACAAAAATGTGTTTGGCATGACAGTCAATATAAATATTAGCCACTGCCCTACCTAATGCAGCAAAATCCTCCTTTTAGACCTGAAATTATAAGTGTTGATGTTGTCGTTGTTGTTAAATTGCAAAAATGTGTCAAGAATCCGAAATCACGGGGCCAATCGAAAACTGAACTTCTAATTCAGCAATAAATATTTGACCTTTGAAATGTAAAACTTCAAACGATTGCCTAAACAAGATTACTACACTATAGGCTAGACCAGGGGTTCTCAACTGGTTTGGCCATGGGACTCACATTTTTACATGGTCATCAAGCCACGACCCACATTTTTAGGAACTACAATACAATTTAAGTAATTATAATTAATTTGTATTCATTTGTTAACATACACAAGTAGTGAAAGATAAATCATAAGAAAATCAAAGACTTACAAATAAACAATATTTTATTGCAGTCATTTAATGTAAAATGTATTAAATTACAGAAATATTCTAAGTAAAAACATCAAACACTGTAAACAGTGGTTAGGGTAAAGAAAATGTTCAGTTCTCATGAACTAAACTGAACTGTTAATAAAACATGTTGTCTGGTTTCTAAATGTCGTTTTAATTTGGAAGGTTTCATGCTCTCTTGTGAGAGCACCTCACTACTTATGACACTACTTTTTAAGCCTGTTTTGTCATCAGTATATGTAAATCCATTCTCCTCACTACTTCTGACACTACTTTTTAAGCCTGTTTTGTCATCAGTATATGTAAATCCATTCTCCTCACTACTTCTGACACTACTTTTTAAGCCTGTTTTGTCATCAGTATATGTAAATCCATTCTCCTCACTACTTCTGACACTACTTTTTAAGCCTGTTTTGTCATCAGTATATGTAAATCCATTCTCCTCACTACTTCTGACACTACTTTTTAAGCCTGTTTTGTCATCAGTATATGTAAATCCATACTCCTCACTACTTCTGACACTACTTTTTAAGCCTGTTTTGTCATCAGTATATGTAAATCCATACTCCTCACTACTTCTGACACTACTTTTTAAGCCTGTTTTGTCATCAGTATATGTAAATCCATACTATACATATTCGGGGTCGTACTTGCGCTTCGACATATTTGTTGCTATAATTAAATGAAATTTCACATGTCAAACAGTACGGTTGTCAGGCACGGATTTCAAAATAAAAAGTCAAAATAAACTAAAAATGTAACTTTTGTTGTTTTTTTGATCACACACTTCGCGACCCACTGAAAATGTTCCCGCGACCCACCAGTTGAGAAACCCTGGGCTAGACTACATTACAATGAAACTACCAATTTCATTTAATACTGTAATATATTATTGTAACTCTCTCGTTATACTCGTTTGTCATTTTATTACTCATGTCCTTGACCAGCAAATCAAAATTGTCCGCTGACCAGCAGTTTTGGTTTGGTTTTCACAATTGGTGCGAACTGCAGTCAAAAACAGTGCTCATCAGTGCAATGTGCGGAGATGGACAGTTCCATTTTTGTATGGAGGGGGACTTTAAATTTGATTGACAGAATTACAGTAGCTAAAGTGTTCTGTTAATCATCAACATTAAATTACATTCATATTCCACCTTACACCAGTTACATGCTTTCAATGCATTTTTCATTTGCTGCTATCTCCGTGGTCTCTGGCCAGGGGGAGGCTAAGCCTTCCCCAGCCTTACACATGCTATGCCTATGAAGGGGACTGAACATAAAACAAAGAAATTTGCCAAAGACATTAAAAAAATCGTCTTGTTTCAGCTCATTTTAAACAGGTAGCTTGAACAAGCAGCAGTTATCTTTTTTTGTTTTGTTTTGTTTTCAGTGCAAATTAGCAGTTTAAGCTACAATTGGCACAGGCTCACCAAAATTGGACAATAGAAGATTGGAGAAACATTGCCTGGTCTGATGAGTCTCCATTTCTGCTGCGACATTCAGATGATCGGGGTCAGAATTTGGTGTCAACAACATGAAAGTATGGATCCAACCTGCCTTGTATCAATGGGTCAGGCTGCTTGTGGGGGTGTAATGGTGTGGGGTATATATTCTTGGCACACTTTGGGCCCATTAGTACCAACTGAGCATCGTGTCAATGCCACAGCTTGTCTATGAACTTTACTTTAAGGTCTCTTACCAGCCTGCTCCTCCATAATGCCAGCTCTGTCATCTGGATCTGTGGTTACGTTCCAGTAGGATGACATTTCTTTGAAATCAGCTGTATCATTGGAGGATGACATCATCACCGATTGAAGAATTGAGAAATGAGCCTTGTGGGAAACATCCTGAGACATCCATCCATTTGTCTGTCTGAAAAACACAATTCAGAGACACCTAAAATGAGGGAAGAAAATGCAAACAACATCATGTGGAACACAAGAAAAAAATGCATGCACTTAATAAATGCAATGGCGGATGACATTTAAATGATAATTTTACTAACATTTGTGCTTGAACATGACGCATACATCAATTCAGTTTGGATACTACATTTTCAATTTAAATGTGCAACTTAAAAAGTGTGAAAATAAGCATGCAAATTTTTTTTTTACATAACATTTTATTAATTTATTTTTATTTTGTGTGCATGTATGTGTGTGTGTGTACATATACATATACATATATATATATATATATATA